TAAGTCCGTTACTTTCTCAAAGAAGGAGATCAGATTCGTTTGGCACGATCTGCCCTTCGAAAAAAAATGCTCTATCCATTGACCACACTACTAGCTGAGTTTGTTTGACAGCCTAAATCCTGAACCCTGAGTGCAGCCCTTATCTGAGGATTTTCACGCCAGCGAGGGAGATGGAATCCTCCCCACCAGGGCACAGAACATCAGTTTAGTCACTGCTCCGCTAGTGTGATCCCTGGACTGCAGTACTAGCTCTGGCACCCTTTATCAATGGGGGCGGGGTTGTGCAGCACATCTACATGTGAACCTATCCATTGACCCATCGCCTGTCCATCTCTTCTGCTGGGCTACCCCAGAGACAGCTCCTGTGGAGGTGAGTTCCTCTGCGCCGTGGAGTGCAGGTGCCCCCATTTCCCTGTGCAAATGCACCATTGCCCACTGTGGTGCTGCTGCGCTAGGCAAAGGGGCTGGAACCGGTGCTCTCAAAGGAGAAACGTGTGCTGGATTTTTTTATATTGTGCTTCTGTTTATAATTTATTGTCACGGACCCATCCAGTAATAACACACCTCTTCAGAACTCCATACACTGCTGACAGATGTTAAAGTGACAGTTCTGATAGAGAGACATAGATATTTAGTGAGCGTTCCAGATTGATTGGGCTGGGGAGGGTTAATATCTGTTTGTAGGAGGCTGAGGTGGGTGGCAAACAATTGGCTCAGTGTAAATTTTAAATTGTAAAATGATCTTGGCAGCTTTCCCTTTTCGCTTTGTGTTTTTGCTGATTTTTTTTTAAAGCAAAGGCAGCTGAAGGCTTCTGTGAAACTGGCTGATTGACAGGCTTAGAAATGGCTATTCATTAGGGTTGCTCCAACAATATAGGCACAGCAGGCACTTGCCTAGTGCAGGGAGATGCTTAGTGGTTCAGTTTGGAGCAATTGTTAATAAAGGTCTAGAGACAGGTTAGAAAAAGAACCACTGAGTTTAGCAAGAATTTAGCTGATTGTCTCGCCAGCAGAGGAGCTTTTCTTT